AGGATCCTGGGATTTCCTCTTTCTCTCTGCTTCACCTTCCTGTTGACAAGCCATGTGGAGCCACATTGAGTCCTGCGAGAGCCCTAGAGATGCTTCCACCACTGGATCCTCAAGATCTTGCACCCATTGGCCTTGGATCTTCTGGTACTCTGCATCATTGCATGTGGTGCGTGAGTCTGAAGAGTAATTTTTGGACTAGTATGGGACTGATGGGCTAATTGTCAGACTTATGGACTTGATCTGAACTGGACTGTTTTCTTAATATACAATTACCCTTTGATATAAAGCTTTCTCTTAGGCATTTGAGTCTAACATTAAATAGTGTTAGGCAGGGTTCACTAGAGAAACAAATTCAGAGTTATCATATATGTATACTCAAGAGCTTTATATCAAAAAATAATTGTATATAAGGCTCCACATGGCTTGTCAACAGGAAGGTGAAGCAGAGTGTAGCCCATATCTAGGGACAAAGAGAGAAGTTCCCAGAATCCTCATGACAAGGCCACAGGCATCATCCGGTTGTGATCTGATTGACAAGCTGGACTCCACCCCTACACTGATTTATCAAGTTTACATGAACTTACCTAACTACCACAGCCCTCACGAGATGGATCGACACAGTGGCTGCACCAATGGGCTCAGCCACAGGAATGACTGTAAGGGTGACACTGAACTAATGTCTCCTTCTGCTCTGCACAGGTTCACTGAACTGGAACCGACTCAACGGCGCCTAATAACAACACATAAAGCAAGTCTTGGGTGAATCCCTTCTGACCATCGTCAAGGGATGTGAATAGCCTTGCTATCAGACAGAGTGCATTGTAAAGTCAATTAAGGCAAACGCTGTTAGGTTAAAATGTAATACCCCATCATTTGATCTCCCTTTTGACCCATTTTAAAGTCGTTTTCAAAGTTGTTGTTTTTTTTTTGAGGTTTTTCTGTATTTTGTCTAGTTACTGTGATTGGGTTGTTTGCTTTGCATGATTGTTTGGTTGTGTATGTTGTTCTGTATGTGAAATCCAGGATATGTAGATTTATAGAGGCAGTAACTGCATAGAGGCATGGCAGAGGAGAAGGGGAGGAAATGGGGCGCTACCAACGAATATGAGAACCAAATGTTCTGAAGTTGAGATAATTGCATAAATCTTAATAAGATTGAATGATTAAACTGTACATGTGAGGTATATGCCAATAAACACTGGATTTTTAAAGAGATAGAAGGACACATTGCATGGATAAATAGTACAGGACTTTTTAAAGATGCTGAGAATCAAAGATGTTACTGCACCTGAGGCGAGTCATGTTATTTTCAATTGCCTTACATGCATGTGAAAGTTGAACGTTGCATAAGACTGAAAAAGAGTTGATGCATTTAAATTGTAGTGCTGGGCAAGACTATTCAAAGTACATGGACTGCCAAAAGAACAAACGAATCTGTCTTGGAAGAGGTGCACCCAGAATGTTCCTTAGAAGCAAGGATGGTGAGACTTCATCTCACGTACTCTGAACAGGTTGTCAGGAGAGACCAGCCCTCAGAGAAGGACATTCATGCTTGGTAAAGAAGTGGGGCATTGAAAATGAGGAAGACCCTCAATAAGACATACTGGCCACACACAAAAAAGACGCACTGGCACAGTTGAAACAATGGGTTCAAAGACAGGAAAAATGTCGGCGGTGAAAGACCAGTGTTGTTCTGTTGTACACAGAGGTTGCTATGTCTAGAATGGATTTGACAGCCCCTAACAACATATATATAGAGAGAGAACTATATATGTTTTAAATGACTGGCTTTGCTTCTCTAGAGCACCCAGACTAACACCAAGTAGTTTAAAATACTTTGGCGTAACTTTCAAAATATGCCTATAGGCATAAGAAGAATAAAAGAAACCATATTAAGCATCTTATTTCCCTGTATTTGAAGCCAAATATGCAATAAGGAAATTCTGAGAATCTCTCGTACTCTTTGCTTCCTTCCTATTTTCTTGATATTTCAGTAATTCCTTGGCTACAAAGCTTTTTAGTATTTACCATGTTTTCTATATATAAAAGGACTCCAAACAACCAAGAAACACATTTAATATCAATCCTTTGATATAACCACTCCATTGAATGTAACTGGTGCATCTTTAGTGAAGCTATTTTCTTGCTAGCATTTATATTTTTAATTTATTACTTTTCCAAGCAATTGTAAATTGTACTTCAGTTTCTATATTTATCTGGTTCTTTATATAGTCCCAAGGAAAGTTTCCCACATAAGAAAAAAGGAAAGACAAATTGCAATATACAATAAATTTTATTTTAATAACTTCAAAAACAAGTTTACTCTTTAAATTACAGTATAAAAAATACACCATTAGTCTTCACATTAGTTTACATGAAAATATATAAATATCTCAATATTTAAATATACGTTCTCTTTACTCAGAAGAAAAAAAAAGTGACACTCAGAACTAGTTACATAAATAAATAAATGCACAAATACAAAACACTCTTTTACACAATATGGTCCACATACCATATAATTTAAGAAATGAAAATACTTATGCAAAATTACCCAACAATGACAAGATTAACAATATACTCATAATTATTATAATTTGATTTTTTTTCTATTAAGGGAATTTAATATATTCTTGAATTTACAAAAACAGATTTTGTCTTCAAGGTAAGCCAAATATATTCAGGTAAAGGGGAACTTCTTGTAACCTACCTAATTCTGAAATTAATTAATTTCTGATTTAACTGAAATGATAATTTTTATAATTTCAAGTTTTCCAGCTTGTTTAAAATAATATCACTATAAAAATTTAGTAATAATTTCCAAATTGTTAAAACAAAATCATCAGAATTGTATTATACTTTCATATTTTCAGTGATATAAAATTTAAATATAAACTTTTTTTAATGGCACTTAGAAGTTTCCCATCTAAAAAGATAGCAATTTGTTTTAATTTAAATTTTTTTGATCACTTGAATTTTAAGAACTGTCCTTTTGCATGATGTAATAACAACCAATCTGATATATCATATTTACATTATTTGTATGCTTCCTCTTGTTTTGAAAACTCACAGATGCCTTAGAAGAAAGGCCTGGCGAACTAATTCTGAAGAATCAGGTATTAAAAACTTCGTGGAGTATGACGGTTCTACTCTGATATACACGGAGGGCCATGAGGCAGAATGGGTTTGATGGCAACTGATGTGCATTTTGCTTTTTAACTTACACTAAAAGCACACAAAATATCCATTAACGATACTTGAAGAAATTATTGACTATTTCATAGAAAAAAAGACACCAATACTCACAAACAGAATACACTTTTTTAATATTAAGTGTTTGCTTACTTCTTAATCAGTAGGACAGTTTTCTTCCAAAATTAAATTGGAGGATTATTTTAAACTAGTGGTTCACAGTGATTTTTTTTTAAAGAAAATGAAAAGGTGTGTATATAAGAAGAAAGACTGCAGAAGGCATTATATGTGTTGCTTTGCCAGTAAAAATATAGACATTTGTCTATTTTTCCTAACACAATTAGCTTAAATTTAGAAATTATTAAAACATAACACCATCATAACACACCCACAGGTTAAATAAGGGCTCTGCAAACAAAATATTTAAAAACCAACTGCCATGCTCTATCTCAGCAATTCTAAGATAACATGTTTTATATCTCTTAAATCATGGGGCCTCTTTAACCACTGATCCTCTCAAGAACTCACTGCCATCAAGGCGATGCCAACACACAGTGACCCTATAGGACAGGGGGTATGGCCTGTGCATTTCCAGGACTGCAACTTTGCAGGACTAGACAGCCCTGTCCTTCTCTCGTGGAGTGACTGGTTAGATTTAAACTGCTGACCTTCTGGATCACAGCCACACTCGTAACCACCCCACGCCCAAGGCAGGGCTCCTGCCATGATCCTAATTTCAATAACATATGGCAGTAGAACAGTATCGTTAGAACCCATGTTCCCTCCTAACAATTAACGGTAGAGAGGGTTCCATTCCAGGATGTTAACTGAAATATTGAACGCATTTGTAATCGTTCAATATCTCTAAATAAAAGACCTAACTATATTCAGAGGACCCCAGACTTGATCTACATTAACATCTGTTATTTGAACTACTAAAATCAGCTACCAAGTATAAGGAAAGTCAAACAAATGCAAAAACACAAAGCCTTTCCTTTGTAGAACGGGCTTTCACTTAGATTATCCATTTTAGTCAATCTTTTGAAGTATTAAGATTGATCATTTATTAATAACAATTGATGGCCTATCCAAATGTTACCAAAACAACTAATTTTGATTCAAGATATTAAGAAAAGATCTTTTGTAACATATTTTAAAAGATGAGGCCATAAAATAACCAGGATTTTCTTTTTTTGAATTAGCCAACTCTTCATGAGAGGGAAGAAAAGAACAGAAACACTGGCAAGTTCGTTTTCCTCGCAACATGTAACCCTAAAGAAAAACATGCAGAGGTGGTAGATGCATGTGTGTTCAGATGATTAAAGATCATGGAATCTCACTCGATAGATTTTAGAAGAAAAATAAATGATTTTGTTTATGATCACTTACATCAACCCCAGTCAAAAGTTGGGGTAATGTATCATAGCTATTTCTTTTTTGATTATCCAGTTAGACTTTCTTGGCAACGGCACTCTGAAAGCACACGGACTGTGGGTCTATGTTCATTGCTTCCCATTTTGAACAAGAGATGGTCACTATTGCCATCGAGTCAGTTCTGACTCAGAGTGACCCACGTTAACAGAGATGTGCCCACGGGCCTCTGAGGCTGTGAATCTTCACAGGAGCAGAAACCATCATCTTCTCCCCTGGGAGCTGGTGAGTTCACTAACTGCTGACCTTGCTTACGGTTAGCAGCCCAACAAGAAACCATTACACCAGGGATCCAAAGATAAGATTCAAAAAAACAAACAAAACAAAGCAAAAACCCTCACTGCCGTCCAGTTCATGCTGACCTCAGCAAGCCTAGAGGACAGAGAGAACTGCCCATGTGGGTTTCTGCAATGCCCACTCTTTACGGGAATAGAAAGCCCCTTCTTGTCCCGACAAAGATAAGATAGCATTTAATAAATCTGCTATATTCATTCTTTAATTATTATAATTTGCTGGCAGGAGAGATGTAATCATTAAAAAGAAACAAAAGGAACATGGGAAAAAATAAAATGTTATATATTGTGCTAAAGCATATTATAAATTATGATAAATTAAGATGAAGCTCTTCCAACTGAAAATGATGGACAAAGGGTGCTTCTGAGATTTAAAAGAAGACATCAAAAGAAAGAGAACCCGAGGCACTAATTTCAAATGAATACAAAAATTCGGAAAAATAATATCCATAGCAAAAAGTTCAAGGTTAGCTTTCCCACCAGAGTTGGGAAAACTATGTGCACTAAGTACCAAATACATTTCAGTTGAAGTACTGAATTCCCAACTAGCAGTAAAACAAAACCTTCAGTCTCCCTTCTTGCCTCTCAGTTTGCCTGACTGCCGAGTCCTTATTCTATCAGGCTGTGGTTTCTGAGAGGATAAACTTCTCAAGGCATACATTTTAACAGGTTTAGAAGGCTGTTTCTGTGAGCTAAGGCGATTTCTATTATCATTCACCTTCTGTCGTTCAACACTGGGCGACACCAGCACCCGGTGTCTAGAAGCAGGGCTGGCCATACCTCTTACCTGCTCCCCAGTGCCAGCTGATAACGTGGAGCTGCTCTCTTTGGCTGGTCTCCTTATCTTCAGCTTACCGACATCAGCTTCTTCCTTCTCAAGATGCATTCCAATAAAAGCACTCCTGGACTGGTATCTATGACGTAAAAAAGCAGAGTATTTGGGGATATATTTTCTAATTATATCACTTGGTTTGGTTCTCATCCAAATTAATTCTTTTTCTGCAGCTTCCGTGGGGTTTTGCTGGAGAGTGACTGGTTGATGAGCCTTTGTAGAAGAACATGGCTGATTAATCGTCATCTTCCTTTTCCACGTTTTCTTTTTACCTTTACTTTCTAAAAACTCATTTTGAATTGATTTTGCAGAAATTTGGGCAGCATTGTAATTCATAACCTCCGATTTCTCTAGAAACACAGAAGATCCACTGGTCCCAGCCTGATGTGACCTTGACCCATAGTTCACTGGAACAGTCACAAAAGATGGTAAAGCAGAGCTTTGTACATGAGCACCATTATCTTGTGCGTGCGGGTCGTTCCTGCTCAAATCAAAGTTAGCCCAGTTGTGACTGCCAGGTTCTGGTACGACTGTGTCTAGAGGAGCAATTACAAATTGCTTCGTCAATGGGTTATAATGACTAGAACTCTGTTTGTATTTGTATTGTGCATCATCCCAACTTGCTGTGTTGTTATTTTCCCTTATTTTGGAGAAGTCGAAGGATTCAACGTCCTTCTGTTTAACATTTGGAGAAGAAAGAACATAGACTAAGGCATTGGGTTGCAAAGGATTCAAGACTTCAGTACATGGTTCAGGAAATTCAACATTTTTGGTTATTTTATCATTCTGTAAAAGCAAGCACTTTTTTTTTGGTGAGTCTTCCATTTGACTGATTAGTTTCCTTTTCTTCGTTGGGTAACGAGTAAAACTGGTTTCAGTTCCATGGCTGACTTTCACAGTTTGGCATTGTGAAGCCACTTGCCATTTTTGTTCATAAGGCCTCTTTACTTGAGAATGAAGGCATGGGTTATCTAAGGCCACTGAAAAGTCATCAGTATCTGAAACATCCCCTGCAATAACATCACAATCTGACAGCACCTGAATTGATGCCGTTGCCTGGTTAAGGGCAGCCTCGGTCGCCTTTTTTCCTTTATTCGAATTGTGTTTTTTAATTTGCTTGGTCTCACAGTCATCATCAAAGTAACAGTGGAAACGACCTTCCCTGAACTCCTTCACCAGAGCATTTATTTTTACATCATCTTCCTTCATTATTTGAGACCATGTTTTTCCTACAAAAGAGGGAGGGACATGAGGCAACGCTTCGAGAACTGGTTCATCATCATTATCTTCTATGACCTCCTTTGCCTTTTCCATGGAAACAGAGCTTGAATGATAATCATGGATATCTTTTAGGTCAAAGGTTATATTCTTCAATAGGCCTATTTTATTAACTGCCTCTGTAGGCTGGTCCTTATCACATTGAAGAGAGGGGTCACAGTGTAAATTCATCTCTGAACAACAAGGTTCATAGCTCACACTTTCTAGAGCCATGTGTTTTAGTGTCAAAGGGTTTTCTTTATATACCATGTCCTGGACGACTGGCTCCAGGCAAGCATCACCATCCACTGCCAAAGCACTCGATGCACAACTCTGATTTTTCAAGCCAGAAGCTCTTGAGTTCTTTCGAGGCTTGACTTCTTTGGTAGCTTTCCTTAGCTGGTCAGTGACTGTCTGAAAAGAGCCTTCCCAACTGAAATCTCTTTTAGGGTCACCAAGCTCATAGTTCTTATCTTCTGAGACTACATATTTTCCCATGTTTTTATCAGACCCTTGTGATTGGTGAGTCATGGAATGATGTGAGACACTAGCATTGAAATCTATTTCAGAACCACAAGACCCACGGCTCACATCTTCCAGAATAATACAATCTCCTTTCTTGTTGATAAATTTGAAAATCTCTTTGGATTGGTTGTTCACTAATTGAGGAGGGCCTTCACAAATATATCTTATGTCAGAATCACAAGAATCACAGCTCTCTTCGTCCAGAGCAATGCAGCCAGCATTTATACTGTTCCTTTCTCTGTTGGCCATTTCAGGTGGGTCAATCACAGGCTGAAAAGGGTTATCAGAATCAGAAATTACTTCACAGTCACTATCACTATTTTTGGTCACCAGGTCCAAAAAGACCACCTTATGAAGATTTGCTTCATTGCCTAACTCTGGAGATTGGTTAACAACAATTTGGAGAGGGACCCCAGCAGCACAAATCATTTCAGAATCTCTAAGCTCATTGCTCTTTTCTTCCATCCCAAGATACTTGTCCTTCTGATTCGTTTCTTTGCAAACCACTTGATGTGGGTGCCCTTCTGTCTGAAAGTGAACAGCAGAATCACAGTGTATTTCAGGAGCAGTGAATTTGTAGCTGTTACTGTCTGGGTCGTTGTGGTTCTTTTCTTTGTCAGATACAGGAGAATGATCAGCTACAAACTGAATGGGAGTCTCAGAATCAAAAGCTACATCAAAATCACCTAGCTTATAGCTCTTATCTCCCAGATAAATATGGCCTTCCTTCCAAACACTTTTTTTGGTAACAGCTTTCTGAAGCCGGCCATCGACTAGCTGAAGAGGACCCTCAGAGTCTGAATTTATTTCAGGACTACAAAGATCATCGCTTTTCTCTTCCAACTTTGAATGTTCCTCTTCCAAAAGATGTGGCTGTCCCACCACCGGCTGAGTAGGGACATGTGAAGCATAGATTACTTCAGGACCATTGAGTTCATAGCCCTTGCCATCCAGACAAACATTTTCCTCCCTCAGCAGATTTTCTTTGATGCGGTCTTGAATTTCATGAGCCACAGACTGAATTGGCTCATCAGAATCACTAGGCTTGATGATCTTATCTTCCAAGTCAACATGTTCCTTCCAAAGGTTGGGCTCTTTAAGAACCTCTGCAGTTTGACCAGCCACTGACTGAATAACGTCAGAATCATGCACGACCTCATAGGCTCCAGATTTGACCCTCTTATCTTCCATGTGAACTTCCTCGTCCTCCCAGAGACTAATTTCTTTAACAGCTTTCTGAAGTTGGTCAGCCACTGACTGAAGAGGGTCATCAGAATCAAAACTTATTTCCGAAACACAAGATTGGTTGTGCTTATCTTCTACTTCACTATGTGCCTGGTCTAAAGGAGTTATTTGAGGTTGGTCAACTACGGAGTGAAGCAAGAACTCAGAATCCAAACTCATTGCAGCACCACTACATTGGCCGTTCCTATCTATCGGGTAAACATGATTGTCCTTCTCCAGGCTTATTTGTGCAACAGCTACCTCAATTTCACTAGCCTCGGCCTGAAGAGAAACATGAGACTCCTGTATGAGTCCAAATTCAGAAGGTTCATCGGTCTTATTTTCCAGGACAAGGTCCTTTTCCTCCTGCAAGCCCATTCTTTCCACAGTTTCCCTGATCTGTTCCGCCAGTAACTGAAGAGGGTCCACAGAATCATCAGAACTGGCTTCACTGCTCTTTTCGTCCAGATCAACACATTTTTGTTGTTGAGTTATATGAGGCTGGTCAGTGATGGAATGATGAGGAGCCTCGGCATCCAGATGGATTTCATAACCTCTAGGGTTAGTACTTTCATCGTCTGGGCCAACACGATCATCTAGAAGTTTCTGAGTCAATGACTGTAGGCAGACATCCGAATCCAAACCTATTTCAGAATCACTACCTTCATCACTCTTATTTTCTGGAACAATGTGCTCTTCTTGCTGAATGTTTATTTTTTCAACATAGATCTGAGGTTCTGTCGCTAAATAGCGACGGTCATCCAAATCCAAAATTTCAGAACCACTAAATTCAGCACTTTTATCTTCTAAGTCAGCATGCTTTTGGTTTTGAAGGTTTATTTCTTCAACCAATACTTCCGGTTGGTGAGCCACAGGCTGAAAGGGGCTATCAGAAGCCGACCCTGTTTTAGAAACACTAAGTTCATTACCTTTGTTTTCTAAGTATACATGCTCTTTTCCTTGATAGCTTGTTTCTTTAGCAGCTATGGTGGGATAATTAGTAATTACAGAAAGAGGAATGTCATATTTCAGATTGGGTCCAGAAACAATAGATTCATTGCCTTTATTTTCAAAATGCACATGCTCTTCTTTATGATGGATTATTCTTTTATCAGCTATGTTAGAATGATTGATCACCGAGTGACGAGGGATAGAACTTTCCAAACTGATTACAGAAACATGTCTACTGATCTTATTTTCCAAATATGTTTGTCCTGCTCTCTGGTTTAGTTCATTAACCGAATCTTCAGAGCAGCCAGTCACTGAACAGATGGTGTTGTCATAATCTAAACTCAATTCTAAACCACTGGGTTCATTTCTCTTATTTTCAAATTCTATCTGCTCTGCTTGTTGGAGATTTAGCTCTTTAATAGCTCCATAAGTATGATTAGTCACTGAATGAAGGGGGATATCAGAATTTGAACTTATTTCATCACTCTTCCTTTCTAAGTGCACATGTTCTTCTTCATGCATGGTTCTTTCTTTGACAGGTACTTCAGATTGGTCGGTATCTGAATGAAAGCTTACCTCCGAATCAGAGGTTATTTCAGAAGTGAAAGATTCACTACTGTTACTTTCAAGATCAACACTCTTTTCCTCATAAACAGTTACTTGGGGTTGGTCAACTGAATGAAGAGAAAGATCAGAATCAAAGGTTATTTCTGAACTATCTGAGGCACAGCTCTTGCTCCGCAGGTTAAGATGATCTCTTATTTCTTCATAATCTATCTGAGACTGATGAGTACCAGACATAAGGGGATTAGAATCAAATGTCAGCTCAGAACTGGAGCTATCATAGCTTCTAACTTCCATGTCAACACTTAACTCGTTCAGACTGATTTCATCCAGAGTCCCTTGAGGTTGATAATTAGCTGACTGATAGAAAGAAGCCTCAGAATCAGAACTTAGATCTGAAGTGCTAGGATCATTGCTCTTATTCTCCACGTCATCATCTAACTCCTGAAGTTTTACATCTTCAACTGCGCCTTGTGGTAGGTCAACCATACATTGACCATCGCCATGCAAACTCATTTCAGGATCATGATATTCATAGTTCTTATCCACAAGTTCAGCATTCTTCTCTCTCAGAAGATGTATCTCGTCCACAGCCCTCTCAGGTTCATCCATCACTATATGAAGAGAGACAGCACCAGCAAGAGCCTCTTTCATACGACTGGGCCTGCAGTGCTCACCTATCACATCAACAGGCCCGTCCTTTAGGTTTCTCCTCTTGACAGCTAATTGGGGATGGTCAACCTCCGACTGGAGACTTGTTTCAGAGCTTGCTTCAGAGTGATCCACCCAGGCGTTCTCCTGAACTTTCATTTCTTCGGCAGTCACTGGGTACTGGTCAGCCACAGATTGAGAGGAGAAAGGAGAATCAGCACTTCTTTCAGAACTACTGGATCCATAGTTCTTATCCACCAAGCCACTGTGCACCTCCTTGGGAAGGTTGACGTCTTTTACAGACTGTTGGGAGTTGTCAATAACTGACTGAAATGTGGTGTCACCATCAAAACTAATTTCAGAACTACTAGATTCATAACTTTGGTCAACCAGATTGATATGCACAGGCTTCTGAAGGCCTATTTCCTTAACAGTCCCTTGATACTGGCTGGTAACCAGCTGGCGGGGACCATCACCATCAGAACTTATTCCAGAAGATCTGTTATTCTTACACTGCAGGTCAGCATTTGCTTCTACTTGAAAGTTTCCTTCTTTGGCAGGTGGCTTAGATTGGTCAGGTGGTGAAAAGAGAGAGGAACTGCAGCCAGCACTCATTTCAGAACCTCTGGGTTCACAGTCCTTGCCTCCCACGTCAACTTGCTCCTCTTTCAGAGGGTTTAAGTCTTGTTTAATCTCTTGGGGCTGATCAGACACTGACTGAAAACACTTACAACTAAACTTCTTTTGAGAACACAGTGAGAATTTCCGTTCCAAGAAGGCCGACTTGTCAAAAAATACATGGTTTTCTGGTTCTGGGGTATAATTTGTATTAAAAAATAATTCATCATAGTTCTTTGGATGGGCATCTTCAAAGATTCCTTTGTTAGAAGGCATGTTCATTTTATTCCGTCTTGTTGCTGAGTATACTGCTAATTTGGAGAGAGAATCAAGTTCTAAGGACCTCTTAGTATCCATAAATCTTTCAAATGTAGAGTCAGTTGACAAAGTTTTACCCTGAGATTTTACATCTTTCTGTAAAATCAATTTACCTGGTTTGATAAATGATTTTTTGTTTGACTCTTTAGGTTTCTGATCTGAAACTGAAGGAGTTTCTAGGTGGGATGATTGTATCGGATTGCTAGAGCTCTTGCCTACTTTTTCAAGGTTTGGGTCACATTTGTTAACTGAATCCAAATGGGCTTGTGGTGGTAACTTCATGGTATTAGATAGAGCTGGCTTATCAGAAGGACGCTCAGTTGAACAACTAGCAGGAGCACTGGAGATCACTGAAGGACACATTAGGTTCTGTCCACTATTTGTAGCTTGACCAACATCGACTGGATTAAATTCTTTCAGATTTTCCCCGATCTGATGAACAAGCTCTAAGGGATGCTGCTGTCCCTTCTCCAGTTTTTGGATAACTGACGGTCTAACTGAGACATGCTTTGTGTATTCCTGAGATTGTATAGGTCTGGACCATAACTCTTCAAAAGGTTCCAATCCCTTGGCGAATATACTTCCTCTGACTCCAGAAGTGTCCCTAACAATTTCTTCAGAAATAAAATGATCAATTTGAGCTACTTCAGGTGACACAGTATTCTTAGGCTGGCTCTCATTACTTGTTGATCTAAAAGGCAAAGGGGGAAAATCCATAAATATATTCTAATATATACTTAAAATATTAAAATAAAGGCCCAGTTAAAGTTTTCCTTCTTTTGTTCTCTCTCTCTCCTTCTTATCCTGGGTCACCCCTAAGGGATAAAGTAGCAAGGCAATCATACCAGACCATATAGTTACATATTTCAGGGAGGTCATCAGTGCAGAAGATGGAGAGTTACCCAATTAAAACTGAATCCAAATAAATTCAAAACACAAGAAAATGCAAATAAATGTGACAATGTCTTTTCAGCTTTCTCAGAAAGTTTGAAACAAGTCACTGAAACTCTGACTCAGTTTCTCTGAAAAGTCAACAACCAATAACAGTATTCTCAAAGAAGTTGTTCTTTGGAGCAAATTAGTTGTGATAATTAAAGAACTTTTTTGAAAGCCTGCTCCATAGTAAGAGTTCACAAATGTTATATTTTATAACACTTTTCTTTGCAAGGCTATAAGGACACAGGCATTTTAATACTCTGAGGCTAGGAGTTTGGTTTGATGTCTGTGAAAACAATTGTCAAAATTAAAATTGTACATACACTCTGACCGAGTAATTCTATTGTTGGTTTCCTCGTGTGCTCAATGTAGTCTATACAAGGATATTCAACGCTATATATATATATTTTTAACTCACAAATAAATTGACCTTAATGCTCATTAAGCAAACAAACAAACAAAGCTCACTGCCATCAAATCAGTTCTGACACACAGCATCCCTCTGGGCCTACCTCATAGGTTTCTGAGACTGTGAGTCTTTTGGAGAGCAGGAGGCCTCATGTTTCTTGGACAGAGCAGGCGGTGGTTTCGAACTGCTAACCTTATGCCAGTCTGACACATAATCCATTACGAAACCAGGCGCCTCATCAATTATGTACTGGGTAAACAACTGACGGAACGATTTAAGTTTAAATTAATAATAAACCAAAAAAGCCAAACCACTATCACTGAGTCACTTCTGACTTATAGCAACCCTGTACAGGCTGTAAAGCTTTAAGGAAGCACACACCTTCAACTTTCTTTCATGGAGTGGCTGGCTGTTTTGAACCATTTAATAATAAGGTACCTCTATATTCACTTTTAATCCAGATCAATTTATTATAAAGCATTGTCAGTGGGAAAAAGCCATTGGACTCTCAGTGGTGGAAACAATTTACGCTTCACCACTAAAACAATGTAAAGGTGTATAGTTTGAACCCACTCAAGTGCTTCCAAGTAATAAAGGCCTGAAAACCTACCTCAGAAAAGATTAATGCCAAGAAAACCCTACAGCGAAGTTAGACTCTGTTACACATGGGATCACCATGAACTGGAATCGATTTGATGGCCATAGGTTCTGTTCTGTTTTGTTTTATAGGTGAAAAAAGGAAGTCTATCGCATGCTATCATATATGAAACATAGAGGGGGAAAGAATATATACTTGGGCGGGGAAGAAAATATATTTGGAATACTACAGGACTCATAATAACTGACCCACTGATTGCCTAAAGGTGAGCTTGAGAGCTGGTACAGGAACATGAGGAAGAGTCACTTGCATGTACCTTTTGAATTATGTCTTTGCGTATACATTTAAGCTCTATAATTAAATTATTTTTAAAAGACCTAAAATGTCCTTATCCAAAATCAGCCTATGAATATCTTTACCAGCACAAAGACAGCATGCTGGATCCAAAGTTCTTTAGGGATTGCTCTTTCATATAAAAATAACCAGCTGCCTTAATGATATTAGCATGTCATGAATTTGTAATTAAAAAGTCAGTAATACAAGCACAAAGAACATATTATGATGCAGAAGATCCCACTCTAAACACTGGGACAAATTAAATATATATAATATATATAGATATATTACATCGTACAGTCACATGACACATTTGTTATCATTAGTGAATCAATATCAAAACATCATTACTAACTAAAGTCCATAGTTTATTCAGATTTCCTTAGCTTTTACCTATCTTCTTCTTCAGTTTCTAAGTCCCATGCAGGATGTCAAATTATGTTACAAAAAAGGAGACACTAGATGAGAGTGTGAGTAGTCCCGGCGGCTGGAGGGTTACATATTGGGCAGAGAACTGAAAGGCCAGCAATTCAAAACCAGATGCTCTCCTGGAAAAGACAAGGCCTCCACTCCCATAGAGAGCTCCGGTTTGGCCAAGCCACAGGGGCAGTCCCACCCTGTGCCACAGACTGTGAGGAGTCCGCCGCACCAACTCAGTGGCAGTGAGTTGGTGTATTTTGGGGGGTGGGGTGGGGTGGAGGGGGGAGGTGAGGGTGTATATGAGAACTCTCTGTGTTAACTTCTCAATTTTCCATGAATCTACAGCTTTTCTTAAAAAGTTAAGTTTTTGAAAATAAGTAAGTATAGGTTTTTAAAAAGAAATTAACACCTAAAATATCTTTATTAAATAATTTCCAACGTGAGAGATGCCACATTTGTCTTAAGAGGACAGGCATGCAAAACTTGGCCACATGAAGTTGTTCTATTTTTAACAGTATGTAAATAGTGATGCTGATTTCCTTCCCACCGAAGTTTATTATCCTAATAATAATCTGGAATTTGAAAAAAAAGATAGCCCTAACATGAAAATGTAATGTCACTGAGGGTCAAGTTTTTTTCTAACTCTTCAACTTTCTGAATACTAGTCACTGAAATTGCAGTGCAATAATTACTTGATTGCAGTTTTCACATCCCTAGATCATCTCTATTTGCCTTAAGATCACAATCTTCTCAAAACAAAACTGATTTGTAACATCCAGCAAAGAATAAAACTGAAGGAAGGCAGAATAAAAAAAAATTGGTTGGGCATTCACAATCTAAACACCTTGATTTTTATCTTGGTTGTTTTGTACCTTGATTGATTTGTACCTTGATTGTTTAAGATTAAGAACTAAATCACAATCCATATTCCTCGCCACTTGTAATTAACTTTATAGCAACAGCAAACCAAAACCAGACTAGCTGCCATCCAGTTGCCCAGCCCATAGTGAACGGCCCTACAGGACAAGGTAGAACCGTGCCTGTGAGCTTCCTAGGCTGCCCCTGTTTATGGAAGTAGAACACCCTGTCTTTCTCTGTCGGAGAGGGTAGTGGTTTCAAACTGCTGACCTTCCAGCTCGTAAGCCAGTGTGTAAACCACTGGGCCACTAGGGCTCCCTTCCAAAAATATAACTATAATAGGCTAAAAAGTATTTTTTAATATAATCTTTGGGTTAACCATAAACATTTTTTAATTTACATAAGTAAATAAAACAATTATATATCAAAACTTATGAGATGTGGCCAAAATGGGACACTTCACATGTTTAAATATCTGCATTAAAAAAAAGGAAAATGAGCGGATTCCGGGAACCCAAGAGGCAATAATGAGGGCAACAAATGTATAGATGTGGTTTACACACTTGATCTATGTATTGTGATGAATTGTATGAGCCCCAATAAATTGATTTAAAAAATCTGCATTAAAAGAAATTAAAAGATACAAGTTAACTAAATGAATATTCAACTCAGGAAGATAGAAAAATAACCAAATCCTTCCTTCTTCTTCCCAAATAGAATAAAGAAAACCCAAAAAGGGAACTAAAAACCAAAGCAAAAGCTGATCTTTAAGAATGCCAAATAAGAGAAACCTACATGGGAAAGAGTGAATAAACAAAAACAAAACATAAACTTTGATTTTTAAAGTCTATAAATAGAATTAAATAAAGTCATGTTTGCATGGGGTTTTAAGTGGTTTAAAAATGGTATTCAAAACTGGATACACAACGTGTACATACACACAGATACAACCATTTTCTCTGTTTCAGGTAACAATTGTATTAGAGTTAGCAAACATATGGAATTGACTTGGGTTTTATATGAACTACATACACTCTCCCTGCTACTGCACCAACTTTTTTGTTACTAATCTTTTAAACTCTATTCTTGCTCCTCCTTGCTTTGTCTAACTGACATGTAATTGTTGATTGGCCTCCGATTTTGATATATGGAAGAAAATATCCTTTGAAGTGAAATTCTTTATTTAAACCAACAACATAATTGCAAAAGAAAATGACTAGATCAAATTTTCCATGAACTATATTTCTTAATGCAAACCTTAACTGTAAGTAGTATTGGGACATGAATGCAAACATCAAGTGTAACATATCACCATGAACTCCTGTTCCTTCTCTCGGCTACTTCACCTGTTTTCTTGATCCTGATATGGGTGGTGCCACAACACATCCTGCAAGAAACGCTCCATCAGACTTCTGGCACCCAGCTGCTGTCTACTCAGTAAGATCACGTATCTGTGCTGGGCACTGGAAATATGCTGTAAAGATAAAAAGAAACAGACTGACAGTGACACAAACTGTATTCACATGTATATTGCTGGTAGCAGCATAAATGGATGTCTCCTTGTAGTAAGTGAAAATGCATATAAAAACCATGAAAATACAAGCATACCTCATTCTATTGCACTTAGCTTTATTACCCTTTGCAGATACTATGCTTTTTACAAATGGAAGGTTTGAAGCAATTCTATGATGACCGAGTCTATTGGCACCATTTCCCCAACATCATGTGCTCGCTCTGTCTCTATGTTACATTTTGGTAATTCTCAAAACATTTCAAACTTTTCATAATGCTATTGCACGTTAAATAAGACTTCCAAACCCGACACCAAACCCACTGTCATTGAGTCAATTCTGACTGATAGCAATCCTACATAGTATTTTCTGAGACTGTAAATCTCTAGTGAAAGACAACCTCATCTTTTTCCCCAGGAGTGGCTGCTGAGTTTGAGCCAGGGACCTGGCAGTAGCAGCCCAACACTTAATCCATAGTGCCAGTTAGGCACTGCAGCAGTCAAAAAGCGATCAAAAGATGTGTTGCACTGGGTAAACAAGCCACACAGGCCTCTTTAGAATACTGAAAAGCAAGGATGCTACTTTAAGGACTAAGGTGCACCTGACCCAAGTCACGGTATTTTCAATTGCCTCATATGCATGTGAAAATTGGACATGGAATAAGCCTGAAAAATAAATGATGAATTTGAATTGTGGCATTGGAGACTATTGAAAATACCGTGTACTGCTAAAATGACGAACCATTGAAAGCAGTATGTCCAGAGTGTTCCTTAGAAGCAATGATGGCAAGACTTGGGATGTATCAAGCATCCATCTCAGAAAATTGGAAGTAATCAAAAGTAAAGTGAAACCTGTAAAGATCAATTTCCTAGGCACTCATAAGCTCAAATGGACTGGTAATGGCCATTTGGGCTGAACATTCAAATGGTTAATATGCTTGGAATAATAAATTCAAGAGGAAGAACATTACATTTATTGTCAAAAAGAACATTTCAAGATATATCATGCTGCCTGTGCTAGGATAACATCTGTATGCCCACAAGGAAGTCCATTGAGTACAACTATCATCCACATGTAAGCACCAGGTGCTAAAGCCAAAGATGAAGAAATTGAAGAATTCTACCAAGCTCTTCAGTCTGGAATTAATCATGCATGAAATCAAGCTACACTGATGATTGGAATGCAAAAGTTGGGGGGTAGAAAAGTACTACCCACTCCAAAGGAGGAGGAAACCGCTCCCCTCCAAAATGAAGAAATCATCAAAGCATATCGTTAACAGCACATGCTAGTAAAATTTTGATGAATTTAATTCAACAGTGGTTACAGTAGTATATTAAGAGGAAGCTGTCGGAAACTTTTAAGTTAGATTCGGAAGAAGCCTTAGAACAAAGAACGTCCTTGCTCATATCAGCTAGCTCTTGGGTGAAAGCAGAGAAGCCTGAAATGTGTGTGATTCATTGGACTATGCAAAGGCATTCAACTGAGTGCATCTTTACAAGCTCTGGGTCACACCGCAAAGAATGGGAATTCCAGAACACACGATTTCATGTATAACATGTACACAGACCAAGCGGCAATCGTTCCAATAAAGAACGATTGAAATGATCCCTGAAAGTATAGTCTTGAGACAGCCATTCTAATAAGACAAGAGAATCCTGCACAGTGTAAAATCAGAAGGCGGGCTTCACAGTTTCCTTTCACCCTATTTTTAATGTAAGCAAATAATCTGAGAAGATGGAAAACACAAAAAATAACTTGATATCAGCACTGGAAGAAAGCTCTTTAACAAGGTGTAATATGCAGATGGCAACCTTGCTGCACAAGAGGAGGATTTGAGGCCCTTACTGATGAAGTTCAAAACTGCAACCCTCCAAATGGATTACAATTCAATGTGTGGAAAACAAAATTCTTGGCAACCGGTCCAACAGCAACATATCAAAAGAGAAAAGGTTGACATTATCGAGGGTTTCATTTTACTTGCAGCCACAAACAGTGCTCATGGTAGCAGCAGTTAAGAAAGCAAAAATGGGCAAATGTGCTGCACAAGACCTGTTTCCAGTGTTAATGAGCAGAACTGCCACTATAAGGACTGAGGTGCACCTGATCCAGGCCATGGTATTTTTGATTCCCTCATATGCAGAGAATGAATAAGAAGACCACAGAATAACTCATGTTTCTGAATTATTGTGTTGGTGTATGGGATAGTTAAATAATCTGGTGTCAACTTGAGAGTATTAAGAGTGAAGGGGTAGGGTTTAGCCTGTCAATCAGGAGGCATAAAGGAGAGAAATACCTCACTGGAGGCCAGACCCACACTCACTCCCTGCAAGACATTCCTGTTGACAAGCCACATGGAGCTAAGCTGATAGAATCAGAGCCCTGAAGCTGGAGAAGCCACATGGAGACCCCTGCCAGTGCTGAGATGCTTCCACTACCACTGGATCCACAAACTTTCCACCCACTGCCCTGTGATCTTCCTGCATTTGGCATCATTGCTTGTGTTGGGTGAGTCTGAAGAGGAAATTATAGACTGGTAATGGACATGTGGGCTACTATCAGACTTATGGACTTGATCTGGACTGGGCTGGGATGTTTTCTTAATATACAATTACTCTATAAGTAATGCTCTTTCTTATACATCTATGAGTGTCTCTGGTTTCTCTAGTCAACCCAGACAAACACAGTATATAAAAAGGACCACCAGGCTATAATATACCATGGTCTATAAAAGACAAATCTATTTTGGAAGAAGTATAGCTTTAAAGCTTCTTAGAAGCAAGCATGGTGAGACTTCATCTCGTGTATTTTGGACATGTTATCGGGAGGGAACATCTCTGGGAAAGGACTTGGTAGAGTGCAGGGTCTGTGAACAGAGGAAGACCCCCCACAAGATGGACGGATGCAGGGGCTACAACAATGGGCTCAATCAAACATAACGACATAATGTTGGACAATGTTTCATTTTACTGCACAAAGGGTCACCTGAGTCAGAACCAACAGGGTGGCACCTGACAACAATCACCTTCCACCAAACACTTGAACAAAATTCACACAAGATTTCTACCATTGTGTAGAAGAAATCACCATTCTTCCACTGTCCAATTGCCTGATCCTCATTTTCATTTAAAGCCTCATAAAAAGCACATTTTTTTAAAAAGTAGAATGGCTTTATCTTAGTGTATAAAATTAACCTCAAGGCTCCAGGAACTGACGTCATACGGACCAAAAGGTTCCAACAAGCTGATGAAGGACTGGAAGCGCTGCCTTGTCTATGCTAGAAAATTTGGAAGCTACTTGGCCAAGTGACTGGAAGAGATTCATATTTGTGTCCATCCTAAAGAAAAGTGGCCCAATAGAATGCACAAATTACGGAACACCGTCATTGACATCGTATTGTTGAACATTATCCAACAATGTAGGAGCACTACTGGAAGAAAACGCCCTAATAGCATGAACAATGAGAAGACTTGCATTCAAGAAGCTGAATGAACCCCAAACAGAATATAACCCTGCAGGGTAATGAATCATTTAATGTGGGACCTGTAGTCATAGCTCTGAACTCCCACCAGACAACCTTTTCCTAATTGAGCGGAGTAAAATGGGGAAGATCTTGGTAGGATTCAATTGTGCGCCGCGAGCTTGTTAACAAGATTCTTTGTAACTGACATCTTGCTGAATATATAATGAGCCCTCTCAGAAGTCTCGTGGGAGATTTTACTATCAGCAAGAGCCAGGAGTGGAACTTGTCATACAGATTGAACTTCCTTGATCCAGACACAGCTGTGACATCAGAGAAGTGGCAGAAGAGCAGCAGCAGCAACAGAACCAGGGTCAGTGATGGACTTCCCAGCCCACAGAGCAAGTAAAGCCGAGTGCTTTGGGGCAGGAAGCTGGCTTGAAGGGTGTGGTGCCTCTGGGTACTTAATTGTGGGACCTGCCCACAAAGCTGGAGTTGAGCACCTTTGGGTTGAAGCTCACAGAGGCATGGAGTGTCTCTGGGCACTTGATTTAGGGTGCACGGATCCACGGGGCTGGAGCGAAGTGCCTTTGGGTAGAGGCTTGCAGCAAAGTGGGCATGCACTTTTGAGCATTTATTAGTAGCCCTGAAAGAGCTTTGTAACGTGTCCTAACTGAACAACTATATCCTGGGCATTTCTCACGTGCACTGTAACCTGTTAACTTCTTTAATAAATCCTTTAACCATGAATATTTTTAAAACTCCAGGTCAGATAAACTCCTCAGGTACAGAAATGAACATAGCGATACCTGGGGGATGGGGGAATATGGGGAGAGGAGTGGGGAAGAAACTGCGAGGGAAGAGAGGCAGTGGTTGGTGTAAGATAGGAAAATAATAATAATTTATAATTTATCAAGGGGTCACGAGAGGGGGAGGGGGAGGGGTAAAAAGAGGAGTGGATACCAAGGGCTCAAATAGAAAGTAAATGTTTAGAAAATAATGATGACAACATATGTACAGATATGCTTGATACAACTGATATATGGATTGTTATAAGAGCTGTAAGAGCCCCCAATAAAATGATCTTTAAAAAATTAATAAGAATTCTGAAAACTATTAAGAGGAGTTTTTGATCACTGTATTAAAAGAGGACCAAAATTAGTTCACAAGAAGGCCATCACTCTCCTCCAGAGATTATGACTCATGATTTAAACAGAATATAGGAATAAATACACTAAAATTTTGTTTTGTAATTCTGTCCATAGTTAGGCATTCGCCATTTTGGCATTCTTCACGTGTACAATTCAGGGGCATTAATTATATTCACCTGGTTGTTCCACAATCATCACTGTTACCAAGTGTTTCCATCACTTTTTTTTCATTTTTTCAAATTCTTCATTGTGCTTTAGGTGGGCACTGACGGAGCAGATTACAGTTTCACATTAAACAGTTCATTAACATTCTGATTCACCATTACAATACTCCCGTGTGCCATCACGTTTCCTGCTTCCTCCTCCTTTCCTAACCCTGTGAACTGCGTCTTTGAGTAAATGCTGCCCTTCCTTCACTCTTACCGATGCTCTGTGTCCCTTATACAATGACTACACAGACTCTGCCCCCTACACCACCAACATACTTTGGTCTCCACAGTTGTCTATTTATAAGACAGATAGAAAGTCTATTATTGCCTATTGAGTATTTACTGGTGTTGCATTCACACCCTTGCCAGTTGCCATCCAGTTGAATTTGACTCATGACAACCAGAACTGCTACAAAGAGTTTTCGTGGCTGTCGTTCCAGAAGCCGACAGGCAGGCCTTTCTTCCGCAGCACTCATGGGTGGGAACAAACTTCCTTTAGGTTAGGAGCCAAGCACTTAACTCTTTGTACGACGCAGGAGGGCATCACCATTTATTTGTTTTTCTTTATCTTCAAAACTCTGCACACTTTTCTGTACAGAGATCTTAGACATCTTGTTATTCCTTCTGATTTGATGTTCTTTAATGCTGTTGTAAATTATAGTTATTTTAGAAATCTCATTTTCTGTATAGTTTCTATACCTAAAATCACATTTAATTTTTAATCGTGACCCAAAGCCCTTGAGACGGTCTCTGAATTCATGTGGATGGATGTTAGTTATTTAATTAATGCTTGTTAGACATAAAAAGAAATCATAACTGATTTTTTAGCATACGCATACGTACACGTACACGTACACGCATACGTACACGTACACGTACAAGCATACGTACACGTACACGTACACGCATACGTACACGTACACGCATACGTACACGTACACGTACACGCATACGTACACGTACACTTGTTTTCATTTTCTTTCAGCTTCAATCTAAACTCGCATAAAAGCAATTGACATCTTAATCTAGAGTCAGCTCAATAATACCTTGTTTTGTCTGGCATTGTTGAGCTTCTTCATTGTCTCTTTTCAATCCAATTTGTGTATTCTCTCTAGTGAGGACCACATGTACAGTCACTGCTTGTGTTGTAGAAAAAGGGTATTTACAACGAGGAAGTCATTAATCTCACAAAACTTTATCATGTAATTCCCAGCAGCATTTCTATCACCAAGATCATTATTTTCCAACTACTGATCCGTCTTCATTTCCAACTTTTACATTCCAATCACCAATAATTACCAATGCATTTGACTGCATGTGTGACCAATTTCAGGCTGATGACATTGGTATAATTCTTTGATTTCTTAGCTTCAGAGGTTGGCACATAAATTTGAATAATAGCTATATTCACTGGACTTCCTTCTAGTTGTAAAGATATTATCCTATCACACTCAAAATTATACTTCATGATAGATCTTAAAATGTTCTCTTTCACACTGACTGCTACATCATTTTCCTCTTGGTCATTCTCAGTATAGTAAACCCTGACTGTCCGATTCAAAATGGGAAATACCATTCCATTTCAGCTCACTAATGCATAGGATATCAATCTTGATGGGTTCTACTTTATTGTTATTGACTTCCAATTTCCTAGACTCATATGTAGTACATTCCATGTTCCAATTATGAATACAGGTTGACAACAGTTCTTCTCATGAGAAAATGGAAATGCTGAAGGGTTTGCTCTATCCACAGCATAAAGGTCGACTCGACTTTGAGGAGGCAGTAGTTCTCCAGTTGTATGTTGAACGCTTTCCACCCTGAGGAGCTCATATGCCAGCGCTGTATCAGCCAATGTTCCACATCCAGGGTGGCCTATGCTTTATTCTTGTTCCATCTTAGTCTGAAGCTTTTCCTGAAACCTGTTCACTGTGAGTAACCCTGCTGATATCTGAAATACTGTTGCTATAGATTGCGCATCACCAGAACGACACACAAGCCACCACAGTAAGCAAACTGATAGATGAGTAGTGATCAATATCATTAGGGAAATATTCATTAAAACATGAGAGTACATCACACCTACTAATATATATATTATATGTATATATATAAATATATACATGGCAACAAGCATTGGCAAGGATACTCATGGAGAAATCGTAACCTCATACACACATGTGCAGAAATTGTAACCTTATACCCACAATGCTGGCTGGAATATAAAATGGTCCAGCCACTTTGGGAAACAGTCCAAGAATTCCTCAAGAAAAGTTAAACATAGTTATCATATGATCCAGCAATTCTATTTCTAGGTACATAACCATGAGAACTGGAAGCTTATGTCCATACAAAAACCTTTACATGAATGTTCTTAAGAGCACTTTCAGAATTGCCCAAAAGCAGAAACAAGCCAAATGTCCATCGATTTTTCAGTAGATTAAAACATATGGCATCTCCACACAACTCTAGTATTATGCAGCCGCAGAAAGGAATTGATTGCTGATACATGAATAAGCCTTGAAAATGGGACGCCAGGTTACAGAAGCCTGATGATTTCAAAAGGCACAGAGCACATAATCCCATTTACAGAAAACTACAGAGACAAATTAAATTAATGGTTCCTAGGCGATGAGGGAAGAGAAAATAGGGAGTGATTGCTAACAGAATTTGGGTTTCTTCTTGGGATAATGAAACTATTGGTAATTTGATAGTGGGGATGACTATATTGATCTATACAACTTTAAAAGGGTGAAGTTTATGATATGTGAATTATATGTCACTAATAATTTAAAAATATCTCCATACGGCCTTTCTCTCCACAGAATCTAAATAGGGCTTTCAAAATGTAAGTAGGAGATATATATATATTTATACACACACGTTAAGTTTGCTCCTCTACTAGAAATTCTCAAATGACTTTCCTTCTCATTTGGAATAAAATTCAAGGTCTTTTTCTTACCTACCGTCTTATATACTCTTCTTCTCTGAATTCTTCAATTATTAATACCTATTTCCCAACTCTACAGCAGACACACTGGCCTCCTGACTTCTCAGTTAACATGTTAAGCACAAAATATCTGTGTTCAACCTGGAAATTCTCTTCTCCCAGATATCTGCAAGGATGGCCCCATACTTCATTCAAATCCTAACTAAAAATGCTACTTTCTTAAAGAGACGTGGCTTGAGCACTATATCTAAAATAGGAACCCCTTTCCTGTTTTTAGTATTTATTACAATCTATTATATGAGGAGAACTGGTGGTTCTGTGGGCTAAGCTTCAGGATGCCAACCACAAAGTCAACAGTTTCAACCCACCAGGCCACCCTGCAGAAGAAAGATGAGGCTCTCTGCTCATATAAAAATGTGCTCTCAGAAATCCACAGGGGCAGACTGCTCCACCCTAGAAGGTCACTATGAATCAGAATTGATTCAAAGGATATAGTTACTGTCGTACTTCACTGGGACATATGCCCTTTGGGGGGAAGGGAACTTAAGTTTTAAACAGTGGTATCCTTAGAACCTTAACACCTGGCAATTAGTAGATTCTCAGTATGATCTATTCAATGAATAAACTTAACATAGTGCAAAAAACAAGGAAGTCATAACTAGGTCCTGAAAGGCGCTACCACATTAATAGAAATCTCTCACCTGTTCCAAGTTACTATAGTACACATGGCAATAGCTGCAATATCCTTGTCCACTTTGCATATTGAATAACCAAAGCCAAATGATTACTATCTTTGAATGCTCAAACTGAAAAAAAGGAAAATGGCCAAAATTACAATCATTCCTGATTACCATGAGGAAAACAGCTATAATACAAAAGAAAAGGAACTCATGTATAAGCCCTATCCATTCCTATTGCTAATAATTAAGTATAAAATTAATAAGGCTGCCCTGAACTATCAATCTGCAAGCCCAGGATAGGGTTAAGAAATAGTTTTGAGAGAGTACCTTGTTGCTAATATTTTGGAGCCCTGATGACTGGCTGTTTTATTAATTCTCTGGTCATTAACTAGTTATCAGGAATTAATTCAGTACTGAAGGATACAGATCTCAATTTTAAGCAACTTAGAATTTCTAAGCTATTGCTATGACACGTTTATTATATTTAATATTTTTTATAAAATCATTAACTTTTACAGCATATTCCTATACAGGAACCCAAGTTAACTGAGTCAGAAATGCCACTAATAACCTCTGATTTTGTCATGGTGGTTTCTGCTTGGTTTACAAACGAGACAAATTCAAAGATAATTTTTCCAACAGTTGCTAAAGACTGACATAACAACTAAGCGAAATTCTGAAATGCAGACATTTTTCCCCGACAACTATATGTACCACGTAAGAATGAGGATTGCCCTCCACTGACACCAATGTGTTTGTCTGTTAAAAATCAGAACAGATTCTATGCTGTCAAGCACGTCTGAGTTTCCCTACCAAGATTAGTGTGTAGCTGAAAAAGCCTAGCCACTAAACCCAGTGACTAAGGAAATGAAATTGCAACATTCGCACTAACAGCATGAAAATAGATTCATTTAGTCAAAATGCTATCTTCACATTTACTTACCTATTACATTTCATTAGGGGAACCTTGGATTCTGATGCCCCTCACTTATGGGAAATCAATCAATGAAACCAGCGCCTGAAGTAAAGAGCAGAAAAGAAATCACTTACTTAAAATGTGGTCTTCTTTTTCCATTCATTTATTTTATATGTTAAAATGAAGCAATAAAAAAGCGCTCTATTTATAGATATGACCATTTTAATGTGACGGGAACTGTAAAACTTAAATCTAAGCTTTGAAAAGAATAGCACAACAAACATTTTAGTGCTTTATTGGTAATAACTTTCAAGTATTCATTGAATGAAAGGCAAAATCGTGTAGGAGTAGATTGTCACGAAATACGCACGCACACTCACACACCACTATATCTTTAAAGAGAATTGTTAACCTTTATGGCTGTTAACTCCCGTGGCATTTTCACCTGTCATTTTTTTAATAGCTAGTGTCATATAAATGCCACAATGACAGTCAACTGCAATGCTTCAGAAGCACCTGTCCACATTATTGAAAGTGCACATGCCAGAATCCCACCTGAAACTCACCACATCAACCTCCCAACAGGAGCCTGGGCACATGATTAATAGGGATATTTAAAATACTCCAATGTGATTCAGATATGGGTTGGTGCAACACTGTGGCATCATTTTATCTGTATTAATAAAATTCTTACTTATTAAAGAACTAATGACTTAGGAGTCTAAAAGTATTGTTTTCACATGCTTGAATGGGTCTCCTTATGCGAATTCTGAATTCTAGTGGTATTTTTATAAAGTAACGAATTATTTACCTTAAGAAGTAAAAGGTATTTCATCAGCATTATTAGTCCTGGAAAAATCTGTAAATTAAAATAAACACTTTTAAAAGAAGATAAGCCCTCTCATACGCACGTACAATTCGTCAAATAATTATCTCATGTCACATTTGTTAGAAAAGTGATGTCATGATGTTTCCAATAAAAGGAGGAAAAAAATTAACTTTTGCCCATAAAGAACTTTACATACTATAGCTCGCGGAATCCCACACGACCTCCCTAGCTGTTCTAGAGCAGAGATTGTGATGGGTCACCTAACCCGGCAACCAACACCTCAGACCCTTGGGTTCCTGGAACAGGAGCTGTCAAAACAACCGGAGGGGCAGCTGTGGCTCTGGTAAGGTCAAGCAGCAAAGATGTTATTGTACCCCAAAATGAAGTTTTTAAAAGAAATATAGATAGAATGAAGTTTTAGTCTTAGACAACTACCCAGCTCTTAGCTACCATCGTAGTTTTAATGAAAAATGCTGTCGATTCTTATTTCTATCAGTAGACATTTGAGCAAAAGTAATTACTGATTGTTTACCCCTCCATATTGATGTGGCATGTGTTGATCCCGTGTGAGGATCAACACACTTTGCTAACAACAAATCCTAAGAGTAGGGGTCAAAAGGACCAGGGACACCACCATAAAATCAAGAAACTCCTTATTAAGCATTGACCTTGTACTGTGCTTGGAGCTGTAATGGGTAAAGAGAATTTTATGACATTTTTTTCTGCCCTCAAGTTTTAAAGTGGGATTAGGAAACTAATGGAATTATAAGAAGTATCGAGTGTTGCTTGAGAAAGCCGAAGTATAAACAAGAAGTGCTGAAGGGTTCCGTTTTAGCTGGAACGGCCTGAGATGCCACAGTGGATATTGATTTTTTTTAACTGAAGGAAGAGTAGAATTTGATTACAAATAGGCCAGGAAAAGGTCTTTCAAGTAGCAAACAAGCAATGGTACAAAGAGACCCCTAAAAAGCAAAGAAAAGGCAAAGGTACATTTGGAAATAGCCAAGTCGAGAAGTCCAATTGAACCGAAGGCTCCATTTGAGAATTTGAGGAGAAACAAGCAAGAGAAGGATGGGTTTCGACACAGTCAGATTTAAATACAGACTAAAGAATTTAGACTGTAATGTCAGGCAGTATAGAGTTTGGGTTTGTTTTCTTTGTGTGTTTGTTTACTTATTTAAAAGTGCCTCACAAGGTGCTTTAAGGAAATTCTGAAGAATGATTTTTCCCTATGCTAAGGAGTTCTTCAACGAGTAAGAAACATAACTGGTAGACTAGTTGGTAGCATTTCCTAAAAAAACGACAATTCCTATAATTCCTATAACACATAACGCTGATACCTAGAATTTGGATAATACCCAAGTTCAAAGAGTCAATAGCCCGTAGAATCAATAAACACTTAGTCTACATTTTGTAAATTAGAAAAACACACACTTCTTCCTTTGAAAAATGGCTTTTATTAGTTTTTTATTACAAAAGTACACGTTTGTTATAGTATAACTAGAAAAATTCAGATAATGAAAAATAGCATAAAGCCAGCCTAAGTCCACCATCGACTGGTAAATATGTTCTATGTACTTTTCTGTTCTATGCATTTTCACAAAAATGAAATGGTACTGCACATTGTTTTGTAACTGTTGCTATCACTTAAACTACATGATGAACATCTCTACGTCATTATATATAATGCCAAGCAGAATATTTCATGGCTGCATAGTACTATAGTATGGTTGCAAAGCATTGTTCTATTAGTGCCAGATGGAAACTCCAGCCACTCTCTACAGTGAGGAAAAGACTTAGCAGGCATCGCTCACAATGGTGGGAGCCTGCTGCCGTTAGATGCCACTGAGTGCATTCCGACCTATAGCAAGCCTATGCAGAACAGAACAAAACGCAGCTCAGTCCTGCACCAGCCTCACAATTGCTCCTAGGCTTCAGCCCATTGCTGCTGCCCCTGTGTCAATTCATCTCATTGCTGGCCCTCCTCCGTTTCACTGCCCTTCTAGCCTTCTTCCGGGACTGGTCTCTCCCGACAACATATCCAAAGTATGTAACATTGTCAGATAAGAGCCTAGGCGGTTAGTTCTTCTCTGAGTAAGAAGCCACTCCGTGGCACACAGCAGCAACAACACGTTGTTTAGGGGAGCAAATCTCCATGACCCGCCTAACACTTATCCACTGTTACCTGGGCTCCTAAGCTGATGCCTCTAAAAACAAAGGCAGTGCCATCAAGTTGTTTCCAACTCATAGTTATCCAATTGGACAGAGTAGAATTGCCCCCATTTGGGTTTCCTAAATTGTAAATCTTTACTAAAGCAGAGAGCCTCAGGTTTCTCCCTTGGTGTGCCTGGTAGCTTCAAACTGCTGACCTTGTAGTTAGCAGCCCAATACATAACCAGCTATGCTAGCAGGGATCCTTTGCCGAATGCTCAATCTAGTTCAGGCATTCCATCAACAGTTCCTCAAGCTTTAGACCACCCAGATCTCAAACACATTGAAATAGGTGCTCTGGTTGTTCTTGTCCATTCCCTTGCAACTCATGGCGACCCCAGGTCTGCAGCGCGTAACCGCGCTCCCCTTTCAAGGCTGTGACCCTTTGAAAGCAGACCACTAGGTCTGTCTTTTGAAGCAAGAACCGCCAATATTTTGGCTAGTTGTCAAGCACCGAACAGATTGTGCCACCCATCCCCTCAAAACACATCTGGAAACGGAGATTTCAAGAGAAAAGGTCGCTGGCTCAGCTCGCATACACTGAACAGTGGAGCTGGGGTCTGACTCCAAAGAAACCGGTGCTGCTTAAATGCCTAACCTCTTCATTTCAATGCCATGCTTCCTCTGCTTGCAGGATGGCTAATTGGTTGTTTTAGTACTAGGAGAAAACAAATAATTAGGTATCTAATTTGCTGCAACAAACTCGGTCACATATTACAAAGGAAAAAAAGTAAAACTAATGTTTATCTTAATTGCATCATTGCTCCTATTGTGAGATGCATGCCAGGATTCGTGAGACTCCAATTTATTTACCATGACACACCAATACATTTTATATTGCAACCCAACACGCACAAGCAAAGACTAAGTTTCACAAAACAGAATTCTCACTGTACCCAGTGCATTTTGGTATTTTCTGTGTCCTTATTTCCTAATTTAAGTGTAAGTCATTTAAATACTAATTTCGCAATTCACTAATATGTTCAAAATTGCAGACTTTAAAGATACTAAATGGAACAAACAATATCTCATACTTGGTTACTACCCTGAATTTTCAGCTTACTTCTAGTCCACATATTGGCTACCATGCCTATATAGCTACTTTCTTAACCCACCTATATGAAGATAAAGAAAATTCTGTCCGTGCAGCGGCCATGCCAGGTGAGCAGTGGATGGCTAACAGCAAGCTTGGCAATCCAAACCCAAGGCCACTCTTCAAAAGGAAGCTGGGGCTATCTGCTCCCTACCCTTGGAAAGAATTGCCGCCTTGGAAAGTCCACAGAGGGTCACTGTACATTGAAAACTACCAGCTGTTCTGGAAAACAAATAGGAGGTTTTCTGTTCCTGTAAAGATTTACAGCCTCAAAAACCCAAAAGAGGCAATGCTACTCTGTCCTACGGAATAAACAGCTTACGTCTGAAACTACTGGGTGGCAGTAATTTTTTTTTTTCTTTTTAATGAGTCACTGCACTCAAAGGCAGTAGGTTTGTTGGAGTTTAGCTCCTGAATCAGTGCAATTTGAGGAAGGCGCAGTGTTTTCTCAATTAGATCTCTATACAGAGATAAAAAAATTTTTCAGATGTTTCAGTGAAATAAATAGATTTCAAAAGTGCTGCCCATTTAAGTAACATACCTATATGTTTATATAGTCATTAAGGTCTAAGATACATCACAAATTGTTAATGATGATTCCTTTTTCTCAATGGTTTGCTTTGTTTTCCCCTCGGAGTATTTAATTGGATCCGGAGCCCTGGTGGGAGTAGATGGTTACGCTTTGAGCTGCTAATAGCAAGGTCTGCAGTTCCAACCCACCAGGCCATCAGCGGGAGAAAGATGAGGTTTTCTACTCAAGCAAAGATTTAAAATCTCAGAAATCCCCGGGGCAGTTCTACCCTGTCCTATAAGGTCATTAGAAGTTGAAATCCACTCTATGACAGTGGGTGTATATGATCGTAAAAACAAACACACACAAAAAAACCCTTCATTTTTCAGGGGAGGGGTAGGTATTCCTTTCCCGAGAGCTAGTATCTCGCTACGCATTTCTTCCAGGCCCTACCTCAAATCATGGCGCCGGATAATCTTAGAAGCTGCAAGAACCTCCTCGGGGCAAGTAAAAATGGCTGATCGCTGTAACAGGGTCGCAACGAGTCCGAATCGACTAGAAGGCAACGAGTTTGGGTTTTTTCCCCCCAGTAATAATGGCGGCGTCATATGACCAATCACACAACTGTTGCCCGATGATAGCAAAAGGTTCGCTGAAACAACCCGAAGGATTCCATAAATAAGCGCCATAGGTTCACAAGGGCCTAGGTCCACAGACAGCTGGAAACGGCGCAAGGTACCGAGGAAAGGGGTGTGTGGACAGGTGACTCCAGACCCTGGCTGTACAGGTGTCTGGACCATTCCAGGCAGGGACAGTGCCGTGCACCCAACGCCCACCTCCGCAGGTCGCCCCTTCCCCAGATCCAGCACCCCCAGACCCCCACCCCAAGGCCTCGCCGCCGTGCGCACCCCCCCTCACCCAAAGGCCCCGGCAGAATCGCACGGCCGCCTGCGCCCCCCACCTGCTCCCCTGCCCCAGCCACCTCGATCCCAGCCCGGAGATGCCGGCCTCGCTCACGCAGGAGGAGCAGAGAGGGACTCGGGGCGAGAAGCAGCCGAGGACCTGGGAGGTCTGCGCAGGAGCCAGGTGAGCAATCTGTGAGTCCCTCTGGAGGAAGAAGCCGGGGGCTGTGGATCCGCAGGCCCCACCTCAGGCGGTGCGC